GCCTACGTCGCAGTTACAATCACTGCTGTTGCATTCACCAACGGTTCCGAAAATGCCTGAAAAAAAAAGTGTTGTTAACTAAAATTCAAAAATACTGTACAGTAACCCAAAGTTAATCATTTATTTGCTTGAGTTTTTTACAAAATGAAATCAAAAAAATCTCACTTTTTTCTGAAAATTGTGGAATCATTAAAAAACAGCATGTTTGAGTGAGGACATAAAAACAATTGAGGGAGATTAAAAAAGAGACATTGGAAAAATTTCGAGAATCTCAACAAGGATTAAATTGCAGCGAGCAAGCAGAAAGAGGCAAATTGCTCGTACTTTTTGAAAAAGAAAACATGAAACGGGCTGAATTTTTATTCAAAACTTGAACTTTACCTAGCTTAGTTGGGGCCAGGAATGGCTTAAAGAGTTAGAGTATCGGTAAGGTAAGGGTTCCGGTTTTTGGGTCAAGTATTTTAAAACTGGAAAAAGACAGCAGCGATCCAACTTCGATCAGTTGAAATATTTTGACGATGCATGTGCTAGCATTCTATTTTGGAAATGATCAATCCTTTTTTCATCCCTGAGCTGTAAACACAGACTTTTCGATGAGAAATTTATGAAAAAGAAAGAGTCTGCAGCTCGCTTTACCGATGTTTGATGAAAATGTATAAAAATATATGTTTTGCCTGTCCACACTGCTCGCAGTTTATTTTCCAAAAATAATTGTCGAAGAACTCAGATAGAAACTGACCTCATAAAAACCAATTCTGGCGAGCTGAAAAAGTGCTACGGCGCAGAGGAAGAAGTTGACGCTTGCGAGGTTATAATTCACCGGAGTAATCGCAAAGCTGTATCGCGTCCATATCGCTCCTGTTGCAAAAAGCGCCACATTCTATAAGATTATCGCATCCTAGAAGGAATCACGAAGAATATGAATTTGTGACATCTAGCAGCCAAGGAAACTAAAAACAACCAGTAACTAACTTACATGCCTTTGCAGGTGTGTTTTTCAAGAAAAAAAAAGAATTACAAAAATGAGGGTGGATGCAAAAAACAGTACATCGAGCTCATCATCATCCTGAGATTAAAAAGCAAAGTTTACGCCATCGCCTGTTTCATTCGACGCTAAACAACTCGTTTTGCACATGTTTCCCCTACATCCTTTCTAGAAGTTGGAAAGCGACTTCACTTGCCTGATAAAAGCTAAGCTTATCAGCGGGTCGTATCATATCAGCGAGGCCAGCTAACACCAAGCACCACTTGATTGTTGGCGCCCAAAAGAAGACTGTCTTTGGGCCAGCTGGATGATCCCATGATGGCTTCAAAAATTCGGGCAAAATCGGATAAATTATCTGAAATAATTAACGAAGCTCCTTGGGATTAAATCTTATTTAATGTTTTGATCAATTGTTTTTCATAACTCCAACTACTTCTTAGCTGCCGACAGTCCCACCTGATTTGTCAAATGCTACATCCTCTGTATGTCAACCCGTAAATCCAAGAAGTACAGGGCTGACTGACCTTAAGTTCTTATTAATTAATCTTATTAATCTTTAAATGTCAGTATGCTGTACGCAGTAAATTAATATTATGACCAGTCATGGATGTACTTCTAATAAACACTATGCGAAATCAATACCTTATCAGCAGCGGCGCAAACAGCGTCAGAGATACAGGACATTGTCCACACGCGTGTTCAGTGAAGCTGATAGGAGGAAGAAAATATCCGGCGGCAAGAAGCATTACAGCATTGAGAGGTCATCGTCCCTGCTCGCTGACCTACCCTTCAGCGCCGTTCGTGCTCCATCAGTACAGTGACCTCAAATATTCATCTCACACTATTTGATTACAAAAGAACGTTGTTCGAAAGCGGTTATACTGGACTATTGAGGTTTCAGACTTCTGTAAGCGTTCAAGCCTTGCTGATTAAGCCGCATGTCATACGCGTGGTACATAATAAGCGAAACACGAAAGACACAAAAGTACCTCAGAACGTTAAAGATCAGCACAAGGGAAAAGAGTTGGAGTTGAGCAACGAAGCTCTAAACTATCTGCTATTTCAGGCATTCCAAGTAAACAAGAGAGCACCGTAATACAGAGTTAAATCCGTCTCACCGCATATTTTCGATTACCGAGATCGCCTCATATTAGTGATGCTACTAGCACCATCCACCTTCCCTCGCTCCTACCCCCACCCCTCCCCCTTGTCTCCCTTTTTCAACACGTTGGTCAGAGCTGTTCCAACCTTAAACATGTTTTCGATGATCAAAAACATGTACGTTTGCACATGTTCAAGGAAGGAAAGGAGGTATTCAGACATTTCGCATTCACCGACTACAATGCCAACCACCCTCTTCCGACTTTTATTTCGTTATTTTCAAACCATTCAAACGTCTTTTATTCAAATTTTTGTTCTGTCGGTATGACTAAATGCCGCTGCTAGTTGAATTTGATATTCATCTGACTCGATCTGATGCCCCTCTATTCGAAATTTAGTCGACTTGGCGCCATTCTGTCTGGAATTTAGCATTTTAATCCTCAACTACTGCACTGATTCTAGCGAAATTAGCGGAGTCATCGCAAGCGTGCTGCTTTGTAGGATTCATGCTTAAAAGCCTACACAGTACAGCAACAAAACATGAATCGAGAGAAATGTCTGTCACGCATGTGCCATTTTCGTTAAACACATAAAATGAATCTGATAAGGCAACGACAGCTCACATCCACAATTTCGCTCTCACAGCCGAAAATTCGTCACCAAATTTGGCACTTCTCGATCGATATGCGCTTCGTTTTAATCCCGGGTTTGCAAAGATAATTTGGACAATCGGTGTGGGTATTCAGTGTGAGTGACGTTATCATTATGTATCCACACGCCAAGCACAGCTAAAATAAACCCTTTGTTCCCAAACTGCATACCCTCACTTAGCTTTTTTTAACTATTTCTGCGCAAGTCCCATTTTCCTCATTATCACAATTACAGCAGTGATTCTGCTTGTCGATTCTATAGGAAAATTAATTTCTTTCTTTCCTTCTTCGAAATTTCTTCGCTCTAAAAGAGCCTCGATTTTTCCTGGTTGCAAAAACAAAGGCAGACATGTAAAATTCTTACATTGTTTTTTGAATTCATTCAGCCCACCGAAAAAAATTAAGGGCGCTAAAAGAGTGAGGAGAAAATTTCTTGCACTTTTCTTGTATGCAGCTAATGGAGAACATGACGCCATAATGTTTGTTCCATTACTCTTTAATGCATTC